TTTTAACTTATTTTTTTGGATACCAAGGATTGAACTGAAGGGCACTCAACCACTGAGCCACATTCCCAGCCCAATTTTGTATTATTAGAGACAGGGTCTCACTGAGTTGCTTAGTGCCTTGCTGTTGCTGAGGCTGGCTTTGAACTCATGATCCCCTTGTCTCAGTCTCCTGAGCTGCTGGGATTACAGGTGTACGCCATGGCGCTCAGCCAAACTGATTTTATATGCCAGCATTTCAAACTGTTCTGTAAGCACAGACAAGTTAAAATCAAATAAGGATCAAACCATGCAGACCTCAGTACAACATGTCAACATGCTGACCTTCTTGAACTTCCATTTCCTCATTCATTTAAATGTTTACACTGCATTCCATAAAGCTTTTGACACTTCTGTTAAAAACTCTAGAAAGTGAATGAGTTAAAAAGTCACTGTGCATCTATCCTTAAAAAGGTTCAGCACAATTACTATGTGACCTAGCCAATTCCAACCCTAGACAGCTGCTCCAAGAAAGTTCATACATGTCACACAAACACTTGTGTACAAACATTTATAGCAGTATCATTCACAACAAAAAGTGGAAACAACCCAAATTCCACCACTGATTGATAGAAATAAAATGTATTACATCCATATAATGGAATATCAAAAAGGGAGATAGTACTGATTCACACTACAAATATCGAACCTTTGAAAACATTCTGAGTGAAAGAATCCAGACTACTAAAATAGCCCCCCAAAAAGCAAATCTAAAAAAAAAAAAAAAAAAATTATAGATTAGTGGTTTCCAGGGTTGAGGGGGAGTGACTGCTACACAGATATAGAGTTTCTTTTAGGGGAGATGGAACTCTCCTAAAATTGATTATAATGATGGATGCACAACTCTGTGAATATGCTAAGTGCTCGTAATTTTGTCACATGTGAGAATTATCTCAAAGTCATTATTAAAAACACAGAAACCAGGCACTCAGTGGCAAAGCCTGTAATCCCTTCCCAAAATTTGCTCCCTCTAGAAGCTGAGGCAGGAAGATCTTAAGTTTGAGGGCAGCCTGTGCAACTTTGCAGACCCTCAACAATTTAATTGAGACCCTGTCTGGGGGAACACGACTGACACAACTCTAATATAGCTCTGTGGTAAAGCACCTCTGGATTCAATACTCAGTACCCGACCCAAAGAAAGAAAGAAAAACACATACAAAAAGATGTCTGAAAGGATTTTTTACAATAACAGTGTGATCCTCAAATTACATACAATTGATATCCAATAAACACTGGTTGATGAACACACTTAAAAAAAACTATACTTATCAAAACAATGTTATTATACAAAACCATTGTCTTGCACACAGTAAAAATCTAGTTATTAATTATATAGATGAGCTCACTGCATACCCACAAATCATAATATTAAAAAGAATATGCTTTTTTTTTAAGTGATCATGTTTTTAGTGACAACATGGGATTCACATTAAGAAATTCTATCCATACATGCCTGGGTTGAACTACAATCCAAATTCACTCATTACACATTTCAAATTGCTAAATGGAGGGCTTCACTCTATAGTTGAGTGCTTTCCTAGGATGGTGAGGCCCTGGGTTTGTTCCCATGACAAAAACAAACAAATAAATAATTAAATAGCCGAATGAGAAATGTACAATAGTCAGTACATAAAAGCAACTGCATGCCATGCTGCTAACATTAAGTCTACAGAAATACCTAGGGACCTCAATGTTATTTTAAAGCTCATATTCCTTATTAGTCACTATTGATCAATTATGTCCACTAACAATATTTTTAAAGGAATTACTTGCATTTTGTAATATGGACATGCCAAATACTTGTTCAATTATCTCTTAGCTTATTCACTCAAGAATTTAAGATCATCTTCTAAGCATTGAGTATACAACAAACAGAAAGAATGATAAATAAAAAACTATGCCTTCATGGAACTTATTTATTTATTTTTGAGAGAGAGAGAGAGAGAGAGAATATGAATGAATGAATATATATATCTTTTTTGTAGCTGGACACAACACAATGCCTTTATTTTTATGTGGTGCTGAGAATCGAACCCGGGTCGTGCCCATGCTAGGCCAGTGCTCTACTGCTGAGCCACAATCCCAACCCAAATTTTTTTTTTAAAGTTGCTTAAGGACACTTTGTTTTTACAAACATGTCTTATGTTAGCATCAATAAGGAATCCCCCACAATTCACCTAGTAAATGTCCAGTCTTTTCTAAACACAAAGATTTATGAAACATTAGTAGCAGTTTCCAATGACCAGCTTTTCTCTCCTTTTATTAAGACCAACATGGTCTACTTTACAAGATTAATCAAAATTAGAAATCAAAATAACTGACATCCATACAATCTTGACAGACCATAACAGTGGGTTGTAGGAAGCTCATTTAATAGCCCAGGATTCAAATTGCTGAGGCATCAAACAGTTTTTGCTTAAAAAACAAACTTCAAATCTCTCCAGAATCTGTGGATCTCAAGTCATTCAATAACCTGAATTGTGTAATGTGAAAATATTGCATTCTCCCTCACCTCCAAAAAAAGTACAATTTAGTACAAAGATCACAAAAACTGGCTCAAAAAGGTAACTTTTGGAAACAAAGTCTAAATTCCTTTAAAAAAATTCAATAATTTAGTGGAAATTTTACTAAAGTGGCCTGCAATTCTTAGCTAACTTTTCTTCTTTTTCTTTCTTTCTTTCTTTGCCTTGCTGTTCTCCAAGCTAGGAATATAGAAGCCCCAGAACATCCTAACTATCCTTAACCATGGTTCTAATTTCTCAGAATGCAAATTTCCTTTAATTTTCAGCAATCTACATGTATGAGATGCTGGCAAGTTACAAGGAGGTGGAATCTTTCAGTTGAAACAATCTAAAATCATCTTAAGAGGTTTATAGACAACTTTACTCCAGCCTGCACTTCTGGATACTTTCCACGCCTACCCAAGTTAAGAGTGATGGAGGATAAGAGCAGCAATGTATGTAAATTCCAGATTAGACTTTTCCATCTCAATTTGATCAATGGAAATTATCTTAAAGGTTTACCTTTCCCCAAAGTTTTTTTTTGGGGGGTAAGGGGTTGGCTACCTACCATGTCTTGGTGAAAAGATAACTCCTATCCAAATTAAACCTAAAGGAATGTTCATTAAATTGTCAAAGTCATAAAACAGACTGTGGCATACAAGACTGCCTTGAAATTGGAAACACATTCATAAATTATTTTGAATATAACTTTCTTTACAACTTCCATGATCTACAAATTCCCAGGGCTAACAATTTTGGAAACTTAACAGCTCCACTCATAAAAATCTCCCAAACATAATTCTAGCACCAAAAAGTCACTGGATTAGAGATACACTGCAGCTTGATTTTTCGGTAACTAAGGATTCAGAAGAGCCCTCTCAAAAAACATTTCCGATTCTTACAAGGCACAGAATACAAGACGTCACTTGTAACCAACATATAAACACAAAAATGAACCCAAGAACCAAGAAGATAAACCTCACCAGGTTGCATAAAACATAAACAATAAGCAAGCAGATTAAAACAACAATTCAAAAACAAAGCGTTTTCTTCGGCAAAAGGGAGGTCAGCCACTCAGCAGAAGCACATGACTCATCCATGGGCCTGAACATAAGTATTTACACCGTCCACTACACCCAAAGTGGGATTTCCCATCTTCATCCAAGGCCGAGCTTTGGGGGCATCACAGGAGAATGAAGTTGTGCTATTTCCGTGTGTGCGCGCGTGTAGGGTGGATCATTTTATTTCGCTGAATCACAACTCCCCCACATTCCCACCCCAAACCAGAACACACATATACAACACCTCAAATAGGAGGCCACGGCAAGGACGCCAGTTAGACCGACCCAACAAAACAAAGCGCCCAGCGAGGGGCTGCCAAGCTGGGGATGGGTGGGTCAGGAGAGCCTGGCTCGCCCAAGTCACCTCTCTCATCCCCTGGGGGTTGTCTTCGGACATGGGTGAGATGGCAGCCCCCTCCCTCCAGAGGAAACCTGCCTGGTTCTCGACAGAGCCAAGGGTGACGTCTCATAAGGTAAGAATACGGGGCGGGGGCGAGCTGCCCCAGCCCGGGCAGAAGAACCCAGGTGCCGGAAGAGCGCGCCGTACAAAGCCCACGTGAGCGCCAAGGCCCTGAAGGCTCTGGAGTGTCTCAGCCTGGTTCAGAGGCGCCCGCGGCCACCACGCCGGGCCC